GCTGTACGTGCAATACCCTCCAGGCGGTGTGTGAAGGAGTTCGGTGACTATCACGAGGAGAGGGTGTGTCCGGCTCTAACCCCCGCCGTCATATGAGCCAGGGTTCCCAACAGCGCGGGGGGAGGGGGGTAATTTGCAGTGCGGGTAATAACGGTTCGCTACCTGGACAGCATGCCTACGACCGTGACACGCGCAATGACGACTCTGTTGAACACCCTCCTCTAAAAGTGACTCGTTAATCAATCAATAATCATGGCAGGACAAATTAGGATGAATGTAAAAGATATACCAAGCAGCCTGTCGGAGGTTCCAGAAGCTTCCTCATTTTTATTTTTATCCCGAATTTAACCATCAAGTCAATTACATGGATCCAATTCCTGCATTACACTCTGGCAATATAACCGGAAAAATGCATATTGTTAGAGACATTTTAGGTAGTACTGAGAGGTAATACTGATGTTACTAAACATTGGAGTACCAGAACCGAAACCATTATGGTATCTTAATATATAAGAAATACTAGCACAGCACCCTAACGACATAGGCACTATACATGATTCAGAGAACGAAACACTTCCAGTAGTAATAAAAGAGTAAGTCAATACTTAGTGATACTAACAAGTAGGCTTAATAATTTTCTAACAGTACCAGATAATTGTGAAGTGCATTTTTTTGCACTTCAAATGTACTTATTTTTCAGCTTCAATTGAAAGAATAAAAGCTGTATAGGTAGATATGAGAATAGACTACCAACTATATCATTTTAATCTATATTACTCTCATTAAAAAGAACAAAAAAAAGAAGGTATACTTACTTATTTATTAATAGATAAAGAATAAGAGTTAACAAAGCAAATAATATCAATAGTGGAACTTAGATACTATTTGTTGAGAAAGAAGAAAGAAAGAAGTGAGAACTCACTGGCAGACTTGAACATTGCATCTTTGAGCCAATGTTTCAATCAGCATCAAATGCAGTATTCAACTATAGATATTTAATGGACAGGGTCTGAGGGTCAGGTAGTCCAAGGCACACTACAATCAGAGCAGGCAGGCATTTGAAGTCGAGGTCTGGGTACAGGAGTACAACTGAGTCAAGTTGTATGGGGTTCAGGAGTTCAGGGTTCAGGGGTTTACGGTCAGGGTTCATGGATTCAAGAGGACGCAAAGCAGAAGAGAGGTATAATTCCTAAGTACAGGTATCCGAATTTAATAAAAGTTTATTTATACCTGTGGTGCCAATCTGGCATATGATTAAGTGCCATCCCGACAGCAGCCTAACACCAGTTGGGATCCACCAATGAGACTGGGGCCCAGCTACCCCCACAAAAACTGGCAACTAAATACAAGATACCCAACCTCCAAACCCAAACTATTAGCCGCCTCCCATGAGCAAGCCAATACGAAAAGCTAAAGTACAAGTTTATTACCAGTCCAGTACCCACCCACACCACCTAGCCAGGCCACGGGAATCCCAACACAATCAAATAAAACACTACCACTGGTAGCACTGCTCTGGCCTTGTAACCTATACCCAAAGGTGCAATCATAAACAAAATAAATCACCCTCCCAAAACCCACCAGCAATCCAAGCAAGCATTCAGATGGCAGGGTAAAGAAGAGTCATGATACCTCCCTCATCAACTAGTTTCCTAGATCCCTTCCCATAATAGCCGTCCTAAGTGACTCCAGGAGTTGGTGTTATCATCATCGGTGTCCCAATCTATGTAGAGTTGTCCATATCTATCTCTTCTTTATGTTCCTCCAAAGTCTCAAACTCTTGAGTAGCTGGATGGGGGCAGGAAGGGCAAACAGCTGAGTGGGATTCATGCAGGCCATCACAGTTCACACACCTAAGTGTAGCATGGCTGCAAGGATGGCCATGAAGATAGCAAGTAGTGGTAGAGCAGGAGTGATCTCCAGTAGGGTGAGGGAGGAGACACCAGTGGCAGCGAGCTGGCAGGATGCATTTGATGCTGTGGTGGCCAAACTTGTAACAGTTGGCATACTGAGTGTATTTGTTGAAGCGTAAATGGCATTCAGTACGGTATGTGTTGGAGATGGCAGAGAGGCGTTTGGTAATGAAAGAGAAAGCCTTAGGTCCCGTGATCGAAATAATAACTATTGAGACAAGTTTGCTGATATGTACTAAATCGGAGGTAAGCCACCTTGGCTGCTCAGTAAGAGACAAGTCAGAGTTGAATGTAGTGAGTTCCTGGATAAGAGAAGCCAGAGAAGTAGAGGTAGCAATACCATGTACCAGAAGCTAAGTGGCAGGAGTGTCGAGGTAGATGGTAGACTCGAGGAGGCGCCAGAAATGAGGTGCAACAAGGTGCCAACTTTGCTGTTGACCATTGTGGCTCTAACCATGTCCATAGTGGTAAGAGTAACATGCCTATCCTAAAAGAAGATAGACTAAATGAGAGTAGAGGCCAAGGCCTGGTTGATGCTGTCACATAGCTGTACAGCAGTAGTAGTAAGGGGGGCAGCATCTCGTTTAATAATGAGCCAATGCTTACATATAGTAAGACTCTTTTTCTTTTTGGTAAGGGGCTTAGCCAAGGTAGAGGAGGGTTTGGCTGGCTTGAGGCCAGGCTTTGTGGGTTTTTGAGAAGGCTTCCTTGTCCTCCTAGCAACAGTAGCCCAAGAAGGGGGAATTGCGGGACCAGGAGGTTGGGTATGGAGAATGGTAGGAGGTAGGAGAGGAACAGAGGGCTGCTCTATAGTGTCGGTGGTCGAGGGTGCCAGTGGAACAGTAGTAGGAGCAGGCTAAGATAGTGTGGAGGTGCAAAGAGCATCTAGTTTGTTAGTAAGGGCAGTGATGTGCTTGGTTAGCCCATCAGTTGCCTTCCTGTAGTCTTCGTACAGTATTTGCATCATGTAGATTATGATAGGAAATGATTTTCCAAATGTGTTCAGTGCTTCGAACTCTTGTAATTCAAAGAACTCATCAAACATACTCATAAAAGCCCTATTGAGGGTTTTAAAGTCATCCCTTGAGTATCGTAGTAGACTTGTAGTGGTGCCACTGTGTGGTCGTTAAAGCAAGGGGGGGCCTTGAGGCCGAAATATTGGTGATAAGCGATTCTGCGAAGCCCCGTCAGGCTGGGTAGAGGGGAGTGGAATAAGAGGAGGCAATGACCCTATGATGGAAGTGATGAGAAGAAACTTTGACCCCAGTCAGGCCAAAGAAAGAATATCATGAAATAGTACGGTAGTGGATAAGGTATTTCCCTAACATATAAGAAAAGGTATCTGAAGGAGATTACCAGATTGCATGAAGAAAGTAAAATATAAAGGGGCACACCTCATTATGTATTAAGAAAATCCTCCATGATCACTAATACAAAAGAAAACCCTTGGCATCGTGCACAGCCATGATCCTTCTATCTGGTTCTACCCAATTCCTTTGCGTGACGACATCCCCCAATCATGATACAAAGAAACTTGAACTCCTACTGTGCAACCAAGCAAACCACAACCAACTTGAATGTATGCAACCAGAAACCCAATGCCTATTCCTCCCTCATGGCCGGGTGGCCATGACAAAATACTATTATATATTATTAGTATAAGAAGAGAGGTATAAAAACATAAGATTGAAGAAAAAAAAAGTACCTCTGAGCTAGATTTAAAAAAGAACATTAGAGGTAGCTTGTAGTAATAAATGTTCTGTTATGTTGTGATAAATGTATTGTGTTATATTATGTATTGTGTGTTGATAGAAGAATGAATGAAGAAAGGAAGCAGCCTCAAAGACCTCTTTTATAACATTTGCTTGAATATGCCAAGGCTTGAAGACTACTTCCACTATTTTCTGACGGTTGAATTGTGCTGTGCAGATTGGTTTGTGGGGGTAGGTTCAATTCAATAGGTTTATGGTAAGGATCTACTAACACTCCGCTCAATACAGATTCATGATTTGTCACTCGGTGGCTTCTACATGCCAACCAGTGTTGTGTTGTGTACCCTTCACTGCACTGTACAGATTCTAATTGCTCAAGTGAACGGGTGCTATACCTTCGACGTATGCTTCAACCCCCCACATTGGACACAATGACCCGGTCTCTAATTCCACACGCTCAACGAATTAAAAGAGTACTCGTAACTATATTTAAACTAGTTAAGCAGTCGACTCAAAGCCAAATCCAGCTCAAGAGTAGACACTACGGACGAATAATATCCTCGACTCTAACTTGTCTGAAAACAAACATGCAAAAAGTTGAAGAAAGGGGAAAACAGCCTGAAAGGGAGTAAGGAAAATTTGATCATGACTTCATAAACAAACAAAAACCGCCCTCAAGCAACCGTATCACAATCCCACCTTCCTTAATATCGTACCTTCCTCCTCCCCCCGTCCTGCCTTCATCCTTCAAGAAAATGTGTAACGAAGTCGGCCGGGCCAAGTCATTTCGCTCAACTCCAAATATGAAAAAGTGATGGGTATAGAAAGTATAAACAATGAATGGTAGAAGTTTGGAGAACAAAAAGAAAAGAGGAAGAGGAAGAGAGGATTTCACAGCGTTATGATATGGCGAAGAAGAGAAATAAAAACGCCCAACAGACCCCTGAACAAAACACTCAAAACAGATATGTATATAAAACAGGATGCCGCGTAAGGAGAGAACCAGAATGACAGTCGGTGTGTTTGAGGAATAGGAGTAGAAAAGGTAGTAAGCAAGGAAACTAAGCAAGACACCATCCGCCGTAAAAATCTGTAATGACCCAATGCTCCAATAAGTTGTTAGCGATATTCCCGCCCCCCCCCCCCCTTTTTTTTCCGTCTCTCTTATCGTATCGTTAGAAGATGCCGATCGTCAATCATCCCCATCCCAGATGCCCCTCAGAAAAACAAATACAAGAGACAAAAGAGAGAAGGGTTTGTCATGTCTAATCGTCGCCGTCATCATCAAGCAAAAAAAAAAAAAAAAAAAAAAAACTAACAGACACATCCTAGTTCCTAGTATTCAACTCAGGCCAGGGCGTAGCCGGATCCCTAATCAGTATAGCCATCCTCCATCCGTGCCATCATTTCTCGATTTTCCACCAGCTGCAACACCACCATTGGCAAAATCCAACTTGGGAAGTTGAAGCTTGAGCTCCTCTTGTTCACGCTGTTGCTCCTTCTTCTTGCGTTTCTCCTTCTTAGCGTCTTTTCCTGCATCCCGACTATACTGCTCGATCCTAGGACCAAATCTAACATCTGTGATTTCCCACTCGTCTGCAACGGCTGCGGCTACCCAAGTCTTGAGCCCTTCATGAAGAGCAGTGTGTAGCCGCTCCTTACATGTCCTCAAACTTCCCCCCATAAGTTTCTCCCACCCAGAGTTCCTAAGGTCTAAGCGAAGATTGTTTCGCTCCTCACGAGCCTCCAGGCTCGCAATACACCCATTAAGCAAATCCATATGGTTTGCAAGGTAGTTGGTAGCCTCCCATTCAACACCGCCAACGTAAGGGGCAGCGGGGACCGGTGGGCGTTCTGCAGGGAAATAGTTTGCGCAATATGTATAACCCCCTCCCTGACTGTAGTTTGGCGATAACACCGGCAACGCAATGACATTGGCACCATGAAGGAATATCCAGAAGACCTCCTTCGTGATATTGGAAAGCTCTTTGCACCATCTTTTGTAAGGCCGTCTCGTATGAGCAACCTCAATGAATTCAACTGGCCGCTGATCCTCACTAGGAACCTTATCGGCAAGGTATCCCAAAATTCTCTTTGTCCGCACTGGCTTTTGGGCTTGCGGTGCGGTAGACAGATGTGTGAACAAAAGGCTAATGATGAGCCCGCGGGTCGTAAATTCCGATGGTCCCTTCTTCTCCTCATCAAAAAGAAGTTCAATCAAACGAGGAAAGACCATGTTCTCCATCTCTAGAAGCTTCTCAAGGGCCAAAGAAGCCGTGCAGAGCGCCTTAAGACAGAGTAGAAGCTCGTGAAGCAATAAATCTTCATGCTCCTCTCTAAATCACGTAAAAACGGTGAGTACTCGAACTAATGAACAATCTGAAAAGTCGCCGGGGGGTATTACCTCCACTCAATACGCAATACTCTTTCCAGAACACCCCAAACTGCCTGCATGCCACCAAGTTCAACGAATTTCTCAACCCATCGCAAGCGTTCATTCCGGAGTACGAGACGGAGCTTGTGGAGAACAGAAACTTCAACATCCTTCATTCCCTGCTCACCCCGAATACATTTTCCATCAATATCTTCCACAAACATCTTGTGTCCTTTGATTTTAGGTCTAGCTGCGTCCCGGAGCCACTCTACCCATTCTTGAGGACCAAGTGTGGGGACCATGGTTGGAGAGGTTGAGCCGCTACCCGGAATGGCAGATGTCGAGGCCGGAGGGAATACAATACCCTTAACGCGTAGGCTTTTGTCGCCGGTAGGGCCTAGATCAGAACTCTTTTGCTTCTTTGGCGAGCCTAAGAACGTAGGAGCAGACGAACCCTTGTCTTTAGAGGCGCCAAAAGTACGGCTACGGGGCCTAGTCTTCTTGGTTGGACTAGGTGGCGCATCGAGACTCCTGGTTCCCTCTTTTGACTTTGGCCTTGATTCAGGCCTTCCCCCATGCGCAGTTTGTGGCCTTCTCCCAAATAAACCAGATGAAGATGGTGCTGCTATAGCCCTTTCGGCGGTCTTCTCCATTTGTGCCTCTTTTCTAATGAATTCTTGTTTTACTCTGATATCCAGCTTTCGCATCCGATCCCGGAGATTTTCCGGTACACCTCGAGAATCCTATTTCAGACACGTCAGCGAGAGTGAACAAAAAAATGGGTAACGAGAGAACTACAAGTAGAGCTTCAAAGGCAACGTCAATTCCTTCCAAATCCAAGCTAGCATCTTGGCTGCTCACAGTACTCTTTCCACTCCCTTGACTGCCTTGGCTTCCCTGGCTACCCTGACTCCCAGTAGGAGACCTCCGTCCGTCTTCCGACTGCTTCTTCTCCATGCTATGCCGCAGCTCATAGCTCCCCTTTCTTGGGGATGCAACACTAAATCCACCAGATAGCAACGAGGCCGAAGGAGGAATGTAGGCACTCTTTGGTCTCTGCTTAGGCTTTCCGCTACTACTACCACTTCCGGTGGAGCCGTTTACGGGCTTCCTTGCTAGGTTGGGTTCACATTGACCAAAGAAATTGCGCTGAGATGATGGCGTATATTCATTTGGAGTATACTTCCTGACCAATTCCTCCGTGCTTGCTCGTTCTTGTTGGGCGAAGACAGAAGAGTTGGAAGATGAGAACGAAGCTCGCGGTTGCTGCTCGATCAATGCGGCGGGCAGAAGGCTGCGCTGCAGGGAGGTATTTGAAGATGACGGGGTAATTCTAGGACTACGATCCTTGAACGGAACTGGAGGGGGTTTCTTGCTTTGAGAATGAGGGTGGTCTCTCGGCAGCGAGAAAAGGTGTAGACCTTCAATCGGCCCGGGGACGTTGGTAAGCCCTGGGCTTCTAGATGTGCTCGGTGTAGGTTCAGGGGCCGGTCTCTGATTTTCCTTATCTCCAGAAGGACCTTTGATATCAACGGAAGGCTTCTTATTCATTCTCAGAATTGAAAAGTCAATTGTGCTTCTGGCTTTGTTAGGCTTCTTTTGACCCCCAAAGCATCCCGTACTCTGGGTTGAGCTCTGTTCAGCCACCTTATTGAAATTGTTGATTAGGTCAAACACGGTGCCTCCCCGAATATCCAAACTACCCCTCGTGGGTGAGGAAGGAACCGATTTATCCTTCCTTGAAGTAAACGACGAAATCGATAGAGACGAGAGGGACCTCTTATGCATCTTTCCGCTAGGCTTCTGAGCGAACGGCGGATTGGGCGGCTCCAACGGTGGCAGGAACGAGGAATTGTCCAACGACAACTCTGGCAGCTGAGGTGGGGCCATTGAACCCGTTACCATATAACTATTCAAAGGATTTGAAGGCCCAGTTCCGCTAAAATACGAAGACGACTTTTTTCCTGAAAACCCCGGAGAAGACTTCTGAGGCGACTTTGATGGTGACTTTGAAGGTGACTTGTGTGGGGAAACAAAGGAGCGTATTATTGCGGTTGCCGACCGCTTGTGGCCCGGCGTCTGAGGAGTGATAGTGGTCATGGTGGTCATTGGGGGTGCGGACGTAGGGTTATCCGGAAGGAAGGGGGCGTCCGAATGTGAAGCACGATAACAGTTAAAAACACATGTAATTGCAACGACCAACAACGGGAGACAGTCGACAAAGGCAAGGAAAAGAGAGGAGAGAAAGGAAAGAGAGGAAAGAAGCAGAAGTAAGTGACAAAAAACAGTAAGGAATAGCAAAAGGGGGAAGAATTGTGACAACCACAACAATAGCACGAGAAAGGTGAGAGTCACGGGTTTGGGCAAGGAACAAGGAGAGAGAATGATGGATTCAGATGGAGGAGGGGGGAGGGGGGGGATAAGAATGTACGAGGCAGCGAAGAGGGTTACCGTACTCTTGTTCGCCTGCCCGCACCCATTGTCTACGCCTAATAGAACTTTATGAATAGCGCTGTCTGTTGTTTACGACTGAGCTGGCAACAATTGGTGAGAGGCTCTTGGACGGTTGCTGCAGCAACAGAGCAGCCCACTTAACCCCCGCGCTGTGAGACTTGACGGATAGGGAAAGTTTTTTTTTCTTTCGGGAAAACATCCTGTGTCTGTCTCCTGGAGCAAGGGTGGAGGAGCAGCAGGGGACAATAACCCAGTTTGACCAATTCGACCAGGCCTGTTTCCTTGACTGGGCTTTCTTTCCTTTTTCCTCTGTCTGTATCCCCTATTCTAATTGATCATTGTTGGCCTCCTGCGCCCTGCATCTTAACGCCTGTCAACTTGTCCACTTCCGACTCCCCTTTCCATCTCTGTCACTCCATGTCGAATCAAACCGCTGGAACCGGTGGGCCGTCATTCCCTTTCTGCAGACAAAAGCCATATGAGTACTCGGGCACGGTACTGTACAGTAAAGTGCCAGTACACGGCTGCGCGCCGGGACCGATGCACAAGGGACTCCAGTAACTACAGTAACCCCTCCTCAGTCAGTCATCCAATTCAAACTAAGCAAGCAATCAGCTCAGAATGGGCCACCTTCCTAATACGCGAATACATCATACCGGCACAATAGGATACAATGAGAGTTAACGGTGATCGTTGTTTATTTCTTGTTGTTGGCCGAAGAGGGGAGGGTGGGAGGGAAAGGCATTTACCGTATCTTACCCCACATTCAGTCTGCCCTCGAAGATGGTTGCCAGTGGGGTTCTAGGCAAGTGTCGCACATAAAAGGGATCATAACAACACAATGTGCCAAGTACGAGTACCGGTACACGAGCACAGTCCTGTACCGTACAGCACTAGTGTTCGAGTCCGGTATTCTCCTCATGTGCCTTCGATCCCTACAGCGGTACCGGCAGAGCACCGCTACACATCGCCTCTGCACAACACGCACCGACTGTGCGTGTGCTAGTACTCGAGTATTGTTTTGATTCTTTACAAGAGTCCTTCAGCCTAATTTTACCATATACTTTCTTTTTCCTCAATCACATTCTTTATCCATCAGGATTAGCTTGCTTCACCCATCCCGGTATGTGGCCGTAGCTCGGGCAACCAGACTCCTGAAGCAGGTACGGCACAGCAGTGCAGTACGAGTATCACCACCTACCAACACGGCGTCAATCAAGCACGAACAGCTGCGGTCTGTAGGCCTCACAGACCCACCAAGCATAACTAACCTTTACAAGTATCTCGCGCAAAAGGGCATCTCCCCGAGAACCGCTATTCATCCACCAGCCATGGCTACCAACTCACAGCCACTATCAAGCTACCAAACTGCCTATTCACCCGCTGCCTCATCACCTGCCAGCCAGGTCGGGCAAGGCGCAACAATTATACTCCTCGGTGCTCCGGCTTGCTCAGCAATACTCCGTACGAGATCGCCCAGGCTCCTCAAAGATACCGAACTGTTGGATGCTTTCCGGGATCGGGGTAGTACTTGTAGTGGAGCTAGTGGTGGCGGCGGTGATGTTGTCCCCACGCCGACCACAGTCCCCTCAGCAACAAGCGAGCATGCAGCCTGGCGGATACTCCCGGTGAAGAGGAAACGGCTGCCAACTGGCCTCTCCCAAAATCCGGATCCGCACACACCAATCATTCCACTAGCCGGACCTTGCGACGAAACATCATCCACTGAATATTCATCCTCCTCTCCCGCTCCATCCAGCAACGAAGACCTCGCCCGTTCCTTTGCTGTTCATAACGTTCCATCCTCCCCAGTGCATACTTCAACTACGACCTCGGTTAATACCTCCATCACCACTACCACGGATGACTCCTTCGCGTCGTTCACCAGTGATGCCGCCCCGAACTCTTGCATTCCAGCACTGCCGCCTATCGGAATGCTCACAGACTTACGGAGCCTTCCTAATGCTCGGTACTTGACCTCAATACAACCGCAAACAATGTCGATATCTACAATTGTGGGAATAATCTCCATCTCCCCTGTCCGGAATATAGTGACCAGGAGGTTCCACAAACCCTTAATGCTCCAAACACTCTTGGTGGGGGATGAGACCGCCGCCGGGTTCAAGATCGACATTTGGTTTCCTCTCACATCCGCTACCCCAGCCAGCAGGGCCTTCAAAGAGACGGTCGACTCCCTCCGTCTTCAGGATGTCATTCTTATTGAAAACCTGGCTTTGGGTGTTTGGAATGGTAAAGTCAACGGGGCCACGTTAAGGAAAGACCGCACGCACATTAAGCTAGCTTACAGACTTAACCGGTTCGGATCACGAGAGCGAAGAAAGTGGGGCAACGTCAATCTGCAGAGTGGGGATGAGGATCTTGGACTAGAGAGGATCAGGAGGGTCGCGGAGTGGGCGGAGAATTTCGTTGATCCTGGGAGGGCAAGAAGAAATAAGAAGCTGAGAGAAGACGGGAGAGAGAAGGAAGAGGAGTGTGTCCTCGAGGATTGCGAAGAAGAGGACACACAGTTACCAGACGATACCCAGTATTGATAAACGGGGCAACCAGGTTCGTTTGGATGAATATGCCACCGCTAGCTGGGCTTGGAAAGGCACACAGATCACCCACAGAGTGGCCCATTATGGCTACCAGAATAAATGATTGCGAGAGGCTGCCGATAACAGGATGCTTTCGGGAAAGGCGCAATTGTAGGTTCAGCCACACATAATCCATAGCAGTGGCACAATAGCTTCTCTCGTATCGCCTTGCGGGAACGCGAAGGTGGCGTGAGGTGAAGGTTGGGGATATGGATTGAAAAATCACCAGGCCTCCTGCTTGTAGTTTACAGTGTAACAATACCGGTACTGTAATACAAACGATCATTAGAAAAATGTGCCCGTCGGGACCCCATGCCATAGCCTAGCGGTTGCGCACAGAAATTGTACCTTCCAACAATTGGAAGACCTGATAAAAAAATACAAACACATACCCAGCCCACCGTCCATAATTACCTCTCAATATCATACCCAAACCGACAATGGGGCAAGTGCCGGCAGTGATAATCTGACCTTGTCATAGGGCACCCAGCCCTAGCGCCATGATCCAGTGCATCATCTCCCCACCCAGACGCGGTACAGCTGTAGAGTACCCCGTCTTCCCCCATCTGCAACACGCCAAAAACTCCCTCGTAGTGCAGGAAGGACTTCTACGGTATTCACCTTACCCATGATACCAAGTAGGGTAGAAGCACCCAGTTCCACTATCGGCCCCGGCATCCCAAATCCATAAACCCCCACCTTAACTCGCAGGCAGCAATCACGGCGAGCTCACCTTTCCTCTGAACCGGGCGTAACAGCACAAGCTGACGTACTCGAGTACAAGAAATCTCTCATGCTGCAGGGGGGCAAACACGCAGAGCACCGGTACAATACCCTATCAGTACTAGTACAGCCCCATTTGTAAAATCCTCGTACGCTTCATTGTATGATACCTCAGAAGTTGTACCCATTAAGTTACCTGTAGCAACGGGAGAACAGCAAGAGCCCTTTGGATAACCTTCTTTTTTTTTTTTTTTTTTTTGGACATGTCTCTGGAGATATTGTAAAGTCTTATTAGAATGATAATGAAGTGTTCCCAAGGCAGGGAGTACCAGCACTCGGAAAGGGCATGAGAACATTGCGGATGCGGCTGCACTGTACCGTACTCGTACAGCAGTTGCGAGGCTCAACCAAGAGACCAACCGGCACTTTTTACAGGCTGAATCCTGGCGCTGAATTACGCGGCGTGGCTGACTCAGTGATAAGGGATTCGATCAGAGCAAACCTCCAGGAACAGGACCGGACTGGCTGGGTTTTGGCAGACGTGTGCTTCTACCTACTGTACGAGTACAGGGCTGGCATGGGCATGATACTGTTGTGCTCACTTTGTAACGTTGTGCGCTGGAGGAAGAGCTTACCAGTATCATACTTACTCACTCGTGCTGAGCAATCGCTGAGATTAGTAATTCCCTTCTCACTCCTCCTAAGTCCGTCCGCCTGCCTGCCCGCCCTTCCGCCCTCCTTCTATCATACAAAAAGGGGGCGACTACCGTACCGGTGCGGCAGGAAACAATTTTGTTAACCCTTTATCGATACGTGCCCGTACCCGTAGCAACCCGCCCAACGAGTCCCAACACAACACACCACACAAAACGAAAAGAAAAAAAAAAAGCTTGTCTCCATCGGATAACGGAAACTTCCTTAAAAAAGCAAACCACCCACCCTGCCAAACACGAAAAAAAAAAGGAAACATGTCTCTCGGAGCACTCATTCGTCGTGGAACCTCGTTCTTCAATAACGGGAAATCCGTTGATACTGCAACGAAAGATACTTTGTTCCCCGTCGTTTCGAAGGAGATTGACGGCGAGGATTGCGACCACGATTGCGATCACTGCCCTGGCTATGGAAGGGCGTTCGACAAGATTGGCGTTGAGACCCAGGACGAATTGTGGGGCGGTATTAAGGGATTTGCCAATCACGTCATCGTAGCTACCGGTGAGACTGACTGGATTAGAGATGTGGAGGACATCAAGGGATCCGTTATGCGAGAGCTCAAGAAGAATAGTGAGATGTTGGAGCAGGGGGTGGGTCTCACTCTACTCTCTGGCGGCACATTATGGAAGGTCAACCTTAACTAATTGGCACTGGTGTTGTTCAGAGATTGATGATTTCGGCTTCCAATTTGCATCCGCCTCTGGAGTACCATTCCGCCGCCGAGGAGGGGAAACCACAACCCACGACCGTTATTGTTCTTCCCTCATTCACTGTCGTGGAGAATGTCGCCCCGAGCGAGACTCCCGAGCTCATTAGACGATTCGTCAACACTGGCCCGACAACTTCGACTCCTTTGGACCCTGCCCCATTGACTCCCAAGAGCCCTCTTTCTCCAGCTACTGCATCCACCCCTCCGGCCCGTGCCGGACCTGAGAGTGAAAAGGCACCGGAGCTAGTGCAAGTCGGAACTCCCTCCGCCGCTGCCAAGCCCTCCTCCGAGGCTACCAGCGTGCCCACCGCAGAAGGTGAAGGCACCACTGCAGAACCCTCCCCCCTCGATGACTCCTTTACCACCCTCTCCCTCGCACCCTCATCGGCCTTAAAATCCTACCCCTTCCCACACTCCTACCTAATCCTCATATGCTCGCACCGTCGCCGCGACGCGCGCTGCGGCATCTCAGCTCCCATCCTGCACAAGGAATTCGAAAAGCATCTGCGCCCCCTCAACCTCTGGCGCGACATGACTGACACCCGGGACGGCGGCGCCAAGGTGCTCTTCATCAACCACGTTGGTGGGCACAAGTACTCTGCCAATGTCATCATCTACAGGAAGGAGGACGGCCAGGGAATTTGGCTGGCAAGAGTCGCGCCGAAGCATATCGAGGGGATTGTCAAGTTTACCGTTTTGCAGGGAAAGGTGGTCCATCCGGATATGATTCGTGGGGGATTTAATAGGAGGGCTGGCGGTATTAGTTGGTAGTCGATTGTCCCAATGGGTTTTGGGAAGGTGTTTTTTTTTTCTTCTTCACTCTGACGGGTGGAGAAGTGGGTGGGGTTTTTCTTTTCTTTGTGACGTGTGGTACTTTTGATAGAATCATGGGATACAGCGTTGCTTCTTTACTCATACATAACATACCGTTATAGTACCGGTACGATTCATACATACATACATACATATCCTAATGTAATGAATGCTTTGCTGAGGGACAGCTTTGCTATCATACTTTGTTGATTGTTTCATCTATGATACTCCCACTTCCGCCTTTTAGCTATTTTGCACTCGTACCGCCCCAGTACGATAGTAACAATGTTACCTGTATCATACAAGGGGTATTCAAAGTTAAAAAAGTGGCAAAGCCTTAGCTTACTTTGCTGTTTCATGTAAGCTTGGCACTCTCAAAAACAGTTAATTTACTGTTACTCTACTATACCATACAATACTAATTTTTTGTGTTGGGATGGATGGTGAAAGGTCTGGAATGAAGGTAAGCAAAGAGAGTAAATCATGTACAATTGAATCAGCTCCTCCCTCTTCTCCAATTCTGGCATTCTTTTATGAGTAAATATAGGTAGGACTACCAATTAACTTGGCTACTATCTGGTAATAACAATACATAATTCTGGAGGATGGAGTCTGAGTGAGTATTATACTGTAATAAAGGTCCTACAAATTAGCTCAGACTGTTCAACTGTGAAAATTTTCAACCAAATTCCCTAATCCTCTTGGTTGCAGTCAATATACTAATACATGATTCTACGCTAAATTTTATAATTTTTTTACCTGAAGGTTACTGATTTAACTTTGAATACCTCTAACCCTGCCAAGGTTTTCCCGTCACTCTGAAAGATGTTAAGCGACCTTCGAAGCACGACGGCACTCACTCCCACAGAGCGCCTAACAGCTCAACGATAAACCTATCGTTCTTCAATGAGAAATCTACCCAACAAAGAACCAACTTTGTGAACTAAATACTTGTAAAACTTGTGATTATTATACCTATTCATCCCAACCACCCTCTACCATTCCCTTATTTTTTTAAAAAAAAAAATTTCGTCATTTTTCTATTTTTTTTTCCATTCTTCTTTAGCAGTTGCCGGTCTGACTGAGCGCCGCTTGTTTGTGGGTGTTTGTTTGGAAGTCGGTTTTTCCCAAATTTTCAGAAAGCCTGGGGAGAAAGTTGGAAAGTAGTTTGTTTTAAAAAATAAAAATAGATAAAAAACATAGTAGAATATAGTTGGGATAAATGGGTGCAATAATCATGGGGTTTAAAAGGGATTGAACTGATAGAATTGGTGGTTCTTTGAGTAAATTTTTCTCATTGAAGGCGATAAATTTATTGTCGAGCTGTTATTTTTGTTGAGCTGTTAGTCTAGGCACTCCGTAGACTAGGAGGGAGCGCCGTCGTTCTTCGAAGGTCCCTTAGGGTATTTCGAAGTGACGGGAACCTTGGTACGGTTAGTGCTCAACGGTAGTACTGCACAAGCAATTTACAGCTGCTCCTGCTGACCACGTGCAAGCTGCCGTATCATCCTCGCACAGCAGACCATCATAAACATAAGAACTCGGCATGCACAAATCATCATAGATGTACTGTGTAGATATACTGGTACACTGTACCTTAGCTAAAATCATTCATTTTTCACCTGTACCGTATATGCCTACATACATACGTTCATACAATACAAGTGCAAAAAGTTTCCGGGATGCAGTTCCAGGCTGAGGATGAATTAATCAACGAACGAGTGGACGATGATATTTGTATGGTAACCGCTCCACTAACTTATTACCGTAGTGTACGAGTACTGAACCTCAAGAAGGCCCTTATCACAAGTTCCCCTTACCGGTCATAGTATTATAACCTCGGTTGGAGCTGACATCGCTTGACTCAACTCGACTCAACTCAACTCAACTGATACCGATACCGATAGGCTGTCCCGCGGGTGCTTATTCTTTCATTATTATATATATACCGGTACCTGATCACCACCAATCTTACCGCACCCGATCAAGTGAGAGTCGTGACTGCGGCGCCAATCGATGGATTCTATGGGAGCTCGCGAGGAGGAGCTGATACAGGAATTGAAAGGGTGTACTTCCTGCGACGTGAGTTGGTTTCGCGATTTACTCCTACAATGGCTAGGTATGGGTGCTGATGTTGAGAAGGTATCAGACGCACTCGTGAAGCTTGGGTATTCTCATGGTGGATTTCTGTGCGATATTAGTACCCTCCCTCTCCCCCCTCCCTTCTCCCCCCGCACGGCTAACCCCGCCACCCTTACTGTATAGCACCCCGCACACCCCTCCCCAGAACACCAATCATAGCGCCCGCAACTACGGTCCAGTTCACCACGACGTCGAACACAACCTTCCGTCCAAGCCCAACGTCCACCACGCCTCCAGCAGGAGCCCATTTCGCCGACCTGATAGCGCCCGACCATGCCGTTGTAATAACGCAGGACACATACACCTCCAACGCGCTTGTCGGGGGCCTCGTCGTGGCGAGAATGCGTGAATTGGGCGCCCCATTGGTGGTCGTGGATGGGCGGGTGCGGGACGTTCCGGAGCTGAAGCTTCCGACGTATGCGCGTGGGACGAGCACTGTTGGTGCGGGGGCCGGGAGTAGGGTTGTGGGGGTGGGTGGAGAAGTCATAGTTGCTCGTGGGGAGGGAGGAGAAGGGGTTAGGGCTTGCCAGGGGGATTTGGTGTTTGGGGACGAGCAAGGGGTGGTTGTTTTCCCCAGGGCAGTGTTAGAGAGAGTGGTTGAGCTTGCGAGGGGGGTTGTGCTGGCTGATCGGGAGGTTTTGGGGGATGTGCTATGTGGGAAGGGGTTGGCAGAGGCTTTTAGGGAGCATAGAGGATAGTACGGTACTGGTTGTTGTCGGTTCCTGGGATAAGGTGTGATAGCATCATACATATACTTGCATAGGGAAGGGGGGGTGATCAATCGATGCGGGGAGTCTGGAGAGAACTAAGGAAGGGGGAAAGAGATAAAGAAAAAAGAAAGAAGCCATATGGTATCATAGATAGAAGGAGGAGGAAGCTGAATCCGATCACTTGCACCGCTAATCTACGATTTGATCTCTTACCTGATTTTTCACCCGCGTGATAAGTTACTACCGTACCAGTAGTCTACTGTATATGTTATCAATCAATGGGATCTCTCTTGACCCAGCAGCCCCTTGTTTCTCCCTCAACTAACTCTTTGTTTCCTGCCCATCTATCGACAGAATCACGAAAAGAAAAATCAAACGAAGGCTCGCACTGTAACCCTCCTCACAACGCCCCCCCCAACCGCCCGGCCCTTCCTCCATCCCATTCCGCTGGTTGTCTCTGCTTGTCTAACCAATTCTGGCCGATACCGTTGGGACTCACGCAGCCAGCGCTCCCCGAAGAAAGGAAAGGAACGTGGGGTCATGCTCACCCAAGTTTTCTGGATACATATGCGTATGATACTAGTACCGTACTGGACTTGTATCCCTACGCTCGGGCCGAATTCGACAACACTGTACTTGTTACACATAGAAGCGTAATCGGTGCGGCACGTGACTAAATGCATAAGGTCACGTGTTCGACTCCGGGCCCCGCCGTAGTTATCGTGATGATATCATATTATCGCACGGAACGATAAGGCATCTATGCAGCCCGCTCCGTGGAGATATGAGGCATGCGACCGAGGGGTTTTCGCTGGATAACATAGAAGGAGCTCCGCTCTACAAGATAAGACTTAGTTGGTTCAGATTGGTCGGTTAGTTATTGAGCTACGACCTCTGCAAAAAGTCTATGTGCAATTACAAGAAGTAATATGCATGTCCCTTCAGCTCGCGTAAGCTAGAGTCATCCGGAAGACCTAATTACGATTGGTTTATAACAACTCACTGGTCGAGTTAGTTATCTTCGTCATGCACTCTAAGCTATGCACATAGAAGAGTCATTGATAAGTCCTTTGAACGGAGCTGATCACTCCACTCAGGAAGAGAGCGGGGAAGTTGGTTTTCAGGGTCAAACGGAGTTCGCACTCCAAAGACACTGAAGCGTTAGTATGGCAGGTACATAGTCAGTAAGGGATTGAATGTAGGCCGCGACCACCCAGACGCGGAATATAAATATCGAGGTGCCTCCCTAGCTTTAAGTCCATCCTCCGTCTCCACTACACCTCCGGCGATTGAAAACTCAAC